ACGAGACCCAAGCATAATACCACACAGCCTAAGGCTCACAACCCGCTGAATACTCTTTTAAATGTTCCCAAAAGCACCACATTCAAAATACCTACCTTGAAAGGACTTACTGCGAATCTGTAGGCATTATCTTCCTAATACTGATGTACAGAATCCCATAATCGCTATAGAAATAATACAAGTCTTGACACCCCCCCCCCCCTCAAATGCAAAACCTCAGTTTCTAGCCACAAGTACAACTTGAAAGCCTCCAATTATTGCATGTAAAATTTTGAACACAATAGGACCATTCTCTAGAGTCATCCACTCTACTCAAACCGCACTTAGATTGATTAAACGAACCGAACAACCTGTGCTTCATTAGCACTCCGACACTGTAGAATGTGACCTCATTCCAATATAACCAAGCAACTTCCTGCCCTATGCACCGAGCATCCCTTACCAACCACACCTCAAGTCATTCCCCGATTCTCGTACACCCATAAAGCATAACATAACCTTTGTTGAAATTTCCTTTACTCGAGCCATAACTGATTCACAAATACGCCTCGAACTGGAACCATTAGAGCACATAACCGTGCAATCAACTATTCAATAGCGGACTCCCCCACTTGGCTCGAAGCCATAGATCAAAACACACACCATAACTCATAACGCATATACTTTATTGCTGCCATAATACCATAGTGAGATTAACTCAATCCTTCATAAGCTCGTGGAACACCGACCATCTAGTACTTCATATCTTCTGCAAACTCGCATTTACTCTCGTAACAATTAAACCCACTCTCTTAAGCGACCCAAATTAAATTCACACATATATTTCACTTGTAAATGGGATCTTCTAACAGACAACATAAAGATCACACAACTCCAGAATACTTCGCAGGAGATAACCCACCTGCTTCGCCTTAAACTAACATTTGTGTATACCTTACACCGTCATAACCATTACGCAGTCACTTAGTCTTCCTGAGTTTGAACTCATATCGCAACATGAAATTTACTCCACTTCCAACTAGGAGACATGAAAAGATTCTTCACACGCCCATAACTCGGGGCTATAACTCAAATCAAGACGGAAATCAAGCACCTAATAGTTCTTCTATCCTCCAGCAGACCCTTCTCGTCGCTTCCAAATCATATGGATACATCTCGCAGTACTAACATACACATCACATAGTCATCTAGCCGTTACTTCCACTAATAGGGACACTACCGAACATATAAGTTCAAAAACACTTGCTCACGCAATCAACACCTCAGTGCTCAAGATATAGGCAAAAATCCGGCCTCGAGTCCTCCAAACTGGCCCAACATCAGCACATAGAGATCACATCTCGCCCCTCAATCAGGGAATCACAAGCCATCGATGCACATCTGATACTGAGCGCTCGTTCGCGCATACGAATGCGTGGAAGGAATTCAAAGAGTTATATTCCAAGCTGAATCAAGGACGCACGATAAGAATTTCAAGAATGTGAAGTTTTCCTAAAGGTTCTGCAGCCTCTCGAGGATAAATACAGACGTCTCCGTACCGATCTGCGAGACTCTACTAAACCTGCTCATGACTCGTGAGACCTATGTAACCTAGGCTCTGATACCAATTTGTCACGACCCTAAACCCAGACCCGGTCGTGATGGCGCCTCTCGTGAAGACAAAGCCAGCCGACACATTTCCAATTTGAAGTTAAATAGCTAAACAGTAATAAAACAGGCTAAAAACATGATTTAATAATACTGAACAGCAGATAATATCATAACAATGCGGAAGTACAACCCAAACACAGCCCAAATCGGGGTGTCACTAGTCATGAGCATCTACTAAGGTCTAACTACAACTGGCGAAGTCTGAAATGTACTAAGTACAGACTAATAGAATAAAGAAGGAGAAAAGCAGTGTTGCGAACGCCGGCAGCTACTTTGCTAAACTCCGAGGACTCTGCCTCCGATCAACCAATAACCGCTACCGGGTTCAGAAAATACCTGAATCTGCACACAAGGTGCAGGGAGTAAAGTGAGTACTCCGACTCAGTGAGTAACAATCATAAATAAAGACTAAGTGATAAGAAATCACGAAAAGTGCATCAACATGCTGTATAGAAGTGGTACGAAACCAGTAAGAAAACAATGAAGCTGTGAAATCTCTTAAGGCATCTTAGCTCAGTTTAAAACTTCTTCAAAAATGGCTTTTTCAACAGTTAAGCAATTGAATGCAAAACAACTAGAACAGATAAGCATAGAGATCCGCCCCTCGGGCACAGTTACACAACTAAACAGGTAAATGACAGGTAATTAAACAGATAAACACATAAGGTTCGCCCCTTGGGCACAATGTCAACAACTCCGCCCCTCGGGCAATATCCCAGAACAGTACCAGCCCCTCGGGCAATCACAAGGAACAATATCAGCCCCTCGGGCAATCACAAAGAACAATACCAGCCCCTCGAGCTATCACTCACATCACAATGGGTACCCGTGCTCACTGGGGGTGTGCAGACTCCTGGAGGGGCCTCTTTCGGCCCAAGCGCAATATCAAGCCATCTCGTGGTATCATAAACAGGTCCTCGACCTCAGATCAATATCAAGCCACCTCGTGGCGTACAAATCTCAGGCCCTCGGCCTCATAATCAAAATCAGTGTATCACAGCTGCGGCGTGCAGCCCGACTCAAAATATATCCTCACAATACAGGCCCTCGGCCTTACTCAGTCAAAAATCACATAAACCTCTCGGGCAATAATAAAAAAATGTTTCTCAGCCCAAAAAATTATTTAAATATTATTTGAGTATTAAAACAGAGTAAACATGGCTTAGTTTTGAAAACAGTGAAAAATAACATGACTGAGTTCAAGTATAAAGTCAAAACAGTGAGGAAACATCAACAAAAATCCCCGAAGGGTTCAAATAGTTGGCACGAAGCCCAAATATGGCATTCAACCCAAATAATGATGATAACAAATAGATTTCAGTCAAATACGCGGTAAAATCATCAATGGGGACGGACCAAGTCACAGTCCCCAATAGTGCACGAACCCACGCTCGTCATCGAGCGGGTGCCTCTCCTCAATATAGCACTACGATGTGCAACTCGGGGTTTCAAACCCTCAGAACATCATTTACAATCATTACTCACCTCAAACCGGCTAAATCTCTAGCTCGCGACGCCTTTGCCCCTCAAATCGTCCTCCACGCGCGTCGAATCCCGATGAATTTCTTGAAAAACCTTCGAAAAATCGCCAAAATCCGAGCTCTCTAGGTCAAAATATCAAATAAAATCCAAAACCTCGTATTTATAGAGTACCCCACGGATTTCCACCTCTGCGGACCGCACAAAAACGACCGCGGTCCGCACAGCACCTACCGCATAGAAGTTTTAAACTTCACCAATTGTTCTGTAAGTTTAATCTTATTTTATCTAGGTCTGGTTCATAGTCCTAGAGACACCAGATTCGACGCATTATGCTCATTTGTGAAACCCAGCAAAATATTAATATTATTATTTCATTTTTTTTAATATTCTTTTTGAGATATGTGGGGGATTGGTAGAAAAATACTTTTGATATCTCAAAAAGAAATATTTCAAAACTATATCTAGATTCATTTTCACACCATTATATTAATGAGTTATTATTATAGTAATTATTTTAATATATTTGTAACACTAATTTATTAAGTTTGAGTTCATTTTGTGATATCTGACAATGAAGTGATAGTAGTTTTTTTTTTGGAACCCCAGGAAAACTCGCAGCCACTACAGTCTCTGCCACAGCCTCTGCCCTTCGGGTGAGCACTCTGTGGTGAGCACTCTGTGCGCACTGGGTAAACCCCCCACTGTGTAATAGCATGCAAACCACACAGGGAATGTAAACCGCACTAGGCAAGCCCCGTGCGACAGGCTCAAACCCAGAAGGCATTGAGGGGGAATCGAACCCGCGTCTCCCGTGTGGAAAACTCCCTCCAAACCCACTGGGCCGTCCCTTCGGGACCGAAGTGATAGTAGTTATTATACGTTATTTGTTAACGTTTTTTTCACAATTGTCTTTATGATTACTTTTGTAACAGAAAAGTTTTAATGGATTGCTTTATTTGGTTAACGTATTGTTTTCATCAGATTGTGAAGTTTTGGACTATATATACTTTGTTGTTTTTCATCTTTTGATAGTAGTGAAAAAACAAAGTTAAACACTTTTCTTCCCTTTTCTTTTGTGCTGGGTTTTCTTCTCGTTAATTCTTTGTTGTTTTTGCTCCTAGTTATACTAGAAGAGCTTGTTGAATCCTGAGGGATATGCCTAATTTTATTCATCACGGTGTGAGCGAAATATCCTTAAGGACAGTGTCTTTCACACGCCTCAAGCTAAACCTTTTATTCTCCATAATTATCCAATTTTTTCCAACAAAAGTTTGCTGAGAACTCAGCTAAATTTTAGATTTGCCGTACCTTCGAATCCGTAATACCCGTCTAATTCACATATTATGTTGCGCTTTTACTACTAGACTAAGCCGTCCCATCCATTTATCCCATCCATTTATTTCGCCGGTTTCTATATGTATCACAAGAAACACATTTTTCTGAGTGTCAAGTTGTGTTAAATTTTAAATTTTATCTCTGGAGAGAGCGCAAAGGTGATTTTCTGAGACTTATTTTATAGGAGTACGAGACTTATAGTCGATAAAATAAAAAAAATAAATTAATTAATTAAAAAAAAAAAAAAAAAAGGCAAAAGCATGTCGCAATTGAAAGGCGAGACCTATGGGAAAATATTGTTTGCACTAACTGTGAATGAGGAGGATGAAGCAGTTGGATTCTTTTAACAAGCTAGCTCTTTACTCTCAAATGAAAGAATGATAGTTATACATAGGAATAAATATGAAGATTTTTAGGAAGCTGTTCCAACCACTACTACTCTCTTCTACTATGGTTCTCATTCATTCTCTTTAGCTGTAACAAGTAACAACCAACAAAGAATTATAAGTAGCAGAATTCTCAACAAAATATGATAGAAAAAGATCAGTCTCCAAAAGAACCACATAAATCACCTCATATGAACAATAAGAAATGCAGACTATGAAGTAAAAAACGGATAACATAAATCACCTCATATGAACAACTGCTTAAATGAGATCTTGTTATTTGTCGTCATTTCTCAAGCAAGGCTCATTAAAAACTCTACTTCCACTTTTGAGTCCAACAGGACACAATTTCAAGCTTCCAATTTATTTGAGCTACAATCAACAAAATTTGAAAGGAAAGATCTCCAAGAGGTACATTATTTTAGTACAACTTTACACTATTTAGGGCAACATTTGGAGTCTTAGCAACAAATGCTTCATTCAACTTTCTCAAAATGGATAAATCAGAATGAGATTGGGAGTGGCCATATTACGGAAATGGACATAGACACAGCTAAACAGAAAATGCCTGCCGAATGAATAAAGGAAAATTGTCAAAACGCTCAACTACCTTGTTATTTGTCTATTTGTTTGATACTTAATGTGAAAGGGAACTGTTCTTTTCGGATGTTTAGCTTCTTCGGACTTGAGAATAGAGGGCCTTCCAACTTGTATGACAAACTTCAAGGCAAGGAGAGAAATGAGAACATATATGTTCTAAGTGTCAAGAAATTCAGAAATTCTCCTTTATTACAAAAGCAAGAACCCAAACGGACGAGAGGAGAAAAAATGGAAATCAAAATAAAGAGTCTAGCAGAAGCATCAATAATGCACATTGACAGAATTCACACCTTACTGCAGAAAATGGTATTAGAAAAAGAACAAAGACGTGATAAGTCAGCAAGTAAAACAAAATTCACAAAATTTGGAACGAAAATGAAGAGATGAAACAAAACAAAGAATGAGGAGAGTGGCTATGAAGAGCTGTGCTGAGATATGCCAATCCCTCATCATCTTACAGTCATTTCTTAAGTGAATAGGCTCAAATTGGATTGTCTGAAAAGAGTATAGGACTGACAAAAAATGTCGAGAATTTGTTGATGCGTCTGAAACCTCTAGAAAATTGTTTTTGTTTATTTATATTTGATAAGGTAATGTAAATTCAAAGGTCGCCAACTTTAAGAGATAAAGACTGAAGAAATCTAATGCTTAAGGCAGAGGCGAATCCATGATTTTAATTTTATGGCTTCAAGATTTTGGTTTCAACCATTAAACCCATCACCTTTTTTGAGTTATGGGTTCGTACCTCGAAATTTTCAGCAATTTAATGAATTTTATATTTAAAATCTAGGTCTAGAATAAAACTATGGGTTCAACTGAACCCATAACTAAACTGTCTGTTGGATCCGCCCTAGCTTAGGGAACCTAGGAATGAAGCATTTTACTTCCATTCCCAATCATATAAAATCAACCATCCAAGCCACATCACATAGACCAAGTAGTTGTTGTATCAGGTAAATACAGTACATAACTTGCACAAAAATATATACTCCATACAACAGTAGATACAGTTAGAGCAGCTTGCATATATTTCCTTTACACAAATCAAACAACAGATAGATTTCCCTAAAGTTCAAAACTCCAGATAGAAAAAAGGAAGTGTGGAAAGCTTACAGTAAATAATATTAGTCGTCATTATCATCAGGTTCTTCAAACTTTTGACCAAAGCCTTTAGGTCCAGCTCTAGCTGATCTAGCTACAATTTTGCCCTTGCGACCACTACTCTTCTTTCTCTTAGCTGCCTCTTCTTTCTCAAACTTCTCCTTCTCCCTTTTCGTCAAGAAATCTGTTACGGCTATGTATATAACCTGTATCAACACAAAGAAAATGCACAATTAACAACAACCATAATTTCAACTATTATAGAAAAATTAAGAAACTTATAATTAATTACCCCAATAGTGAGAATGGATAAGCCAACGAAGGCAACGAAAAGGAGAGCTGATATGATGGTTGACACTCCATCATCACTGGTAGAAGAAACTATTTGGTCTGTAGTTTCAGCTGTAGATACTATTTGTTCAGCTGGTGGGTTTGCTTCTGATAGCAAGAAATTCTCAGAAATAGAGGAAATTTTCCAAGAATTTTGGATATTGTTTGTGGAGGAAATTAATGGTAGATTGTGAATCTTGTGAGGGTGGAATTTTCTAAGTAGTGAAATGTGGGAGACATTTTTGGAAAAGAAAAGAGATGAGTTAGGCTTAGGAAGAAAGGAGAGAGATAAGGATGTAGCAGCAGTAGCAGCCATGTCTGTCTCTCATCCCAAAATACTTCATTCATTCTTGATATGCATACAATCTAGTGTGTGGACCGGGTAAAATAATGAGGTTTTTTTTTTATAAAAATATTCTACTACTGTTTACCTAATAAAAGTCTTTATGAAATTAATAAAGTAAATTAAACTTGACAAATTGTGATTTGATTTGTTTGAACACACTAGATTATATTATTTTTATTAAGAAATTTAGCTCAAAGTAATAACATGAAATAAGCAAATATAAAAAAATAAAGAGAAAGAGATAGAGAGATTCTTATTTCTTCAAGTGCTTTCGAAGTGTATATAATGTGATGTCCAAACCCTATATTTATCGGGTGGCATTGGGTAATACAAAGGGATGTCATGAACATGGTATTAACTATTGAGAACATAAGGGAAGATCACGGGAGGTTACGGAGGTGTGTGAGTTACAACTATAATGGTGAGAAGTAGTGAGGATTATTTACATGACGGAGAAGAGTAGTGAGAGTTATATTTAATTAGTGGACATCCATATAATATATATTTTATAACACTCCCCCTTGGATGTCCACAAGTAATGTGCCTCGCTAAAACCTTACTATATGACAAACAATCTTAATGAAGGAAAAAGAGTACACAAAATTTTGTAATACGCATTATTTACTGCCTCATTAAAAACCTTGCTAGAAAAACTCAGTGGGATAGAATCTTAGCTAAGGAAAAAAGATTATAGCGCGTATTTTCCTCCCTCTAATGAAAACATCAATTTGTTTCTCCGATATGACGTGTTCCGATCTTGTATACCAACTTCTCAAATGTTGAGGTTGCTCATGCTTCACTGAACAGAACACCAAATTATCAAGCGAACAAATTTGTTGAACATCTATTTCACCGTTCGATGAAGATTGTGTCTGATAAAGAACTTTGATGAAATATATGCTTTATTCTGCCTCCTTCAATATATCCTTCTTTCACTTGAGATAAACAAATACCATCACTTTCACTATTATTGGAATCTTCTCTTCAAGGAAAAGTCACGCATCTGTTGTGTGTTGAGTCACTTGCTTTATCAGTTGCTAGTATATTGACATGACTTGGATAAGTATCAACAATTGACTGCCTTGTAAAATAATAATATGGCAGTACCCTCACATACAAATAGATTTTTTGAAGAACGAACTTCAGAAAATGTCTGCATTTGCATAACCAACAAAACCTTGACAATATTTGTTAGGATAAACAAATCTATATCAAGGATTCCTTTTGTAGTATAATACAATAGTATTCCAATATCTTCATATAGGAATAAAAATATATCTCGCTTGCATATTGTTATACTCATGGATCTAGCAAGATACATAGTGCACCAAGTGTAATTGACACAAAAATAAATCATGTACGACATGATTGCTCTAATGCATATAAGGATTTTGCTGAAGCTTTATTTGATAAATTTCTTGGGAACCTTAATATGCTTGAGAACAGTTTAAATCCTTCAATGATTTTATTATGCGCATATCAAATTTTTCAGGTCTTGCTAGACTAAAATCTGAAAGCAACTGCATCTGCCGTAAGAGAACATGTTTCCGAAAAATCTTGTGTCGCCTTACTGGCTTTATTCTTTCGGGTGTTGGGACTATCAGTCCAAAACTTCACGTTTTTCAAGTGAGTTCGATGTTGATTGCGTATTTTTCATTGACTAATCATTTATCTGTCCATATTCTATGACAGATTTGAGCTCAAGATCCTCGTCTATATTAATAATATTGAGCACTACATTATATTAACAATATCGCCGACGATCACTTTATATCGGTTCCATCACCGCTCAATAAAGACATAACTTATCGATATCTCAATAGTTTCAGGTACCCGAACGTCTCCCATGAGGTCTTATAAAGTGTTATGTCGTGGTGCTCTTATAGAGCACTTGCCTCCTTAGTATGACCATCTTTATCATTTGCTCCTCTCCTTCTTTAAGGAGATTTATCTTTGGAACCGATTAGTCTATTACGCTCCATGCGTTCCATAGACTATATCCATCATGGACTTTATTCTATTTGGAGAATTAGCAGCTGAAATATAATATTTAGCTATGGGTCAGCAAATGCGCCTGGCAATATTTTGCAAATGAATTATCACTTGAACTTCAAGTTCACATTTTCTTGTACGAGGATTTAGGTGCACTCATAATAATTCATTCCGTGTATTACTTTTTCAGCTGCCCATTTTCTTTCCCTAATGCTGGGATCACCAACACATATCCCTAGCTTTCTTTGGGGACCCATCTTTGTGCATTGTGGTGGAACAATTAAATCATATAGCACATCCATATTTCTAGATAGAAATTATTAGGTTCCTGACCCTGAACAAATTAAGATAAGGAGAATTTATCATAACTTGTTGGCAGATGCGTACAAGTGTTGTTGTATATTAAATAATACACCTCCTACCAAAATTCTATTTCGGAGTTTATTCTCATAACCAATGGTTTAGCTTAATTGGAGGCATATAGTTTCTGCTAAACCAACTTGGATTTAAACCAGCGTTATCAAGATAAATTATCATAATTTTTATTTTGGAACTGTGCTCTAAAAATTTGAGCAAGCAACCTTGCAAAAGTCAAACCGCAAGTTGATAACTAACGCACATGTGACCATAGAATAGATACATCTATTAAAATGATATATAGTAAACGATCCACATGGAATGTGATTCGGCCTATACATATATATCACCTTTTATTCGTTCCAGATATCAAGGGATTCAATCCCAACCTTAACTATTATATCATGAGAATAGCAGCACAAGAGAATTTTTGAAGAATCTCTATTTTGTTAAATATATGCTAATGTGAATTCTCAAGTAATTTTCGCATCATAATTGAACATGAATGGACAAACGGTCATGCCAACTAATCTTTGTTTCAGTAAACCTCTAGTTTACTTGTGGCGTGTGATTGCATCATCATGCTTATACATGTGTAATACAAATAAAAGTAAAACCGGGTAAGCTTTTATATTTACCCGATATGACTATAGTAATATGAAGATATTCAATCTTCCTTTCATTTATAGTCTCGAATGCCAACCACTTTGACTAATATATTTAAAACTCAAAAAATTTCTTTTGAGACTTACTATAATATCAATGTCATGAACAATTTCATTCATCCGGGTAGTAACAAATTAGTTTTTCCGGAGCTATTAACTAATTTTGTACTACAAGATTTTTAATCACACCATCCATATGGTGAATTTCTCCTTCACGAAAATCATATCATAATAATCGTCATGGTCAGAATCATCATAAGCAAAATCATTTTTTACTTTAATTTTGCCTTTAATAACTTTTATAAGACTTGGCAAAATATTTTTGGCATACCACATGTACGCGACCAATGACATATTCATGTAACCACACAGTAATGTTCATTATCTTTCTTTCTCTTTATTTCACGCAAAAAACTCCCTTAGAGGTGAGTTGTGTGGTATTCATCTGATCATGCATTGCACATCTTTATTCATTACTTTTATCACGTATTGCCACATTCACCTTCAGGAATGAGTCTGCATTATCAATGCTTATCACAAGTCACATTCTCTTCAATGAATGGAGCATAATCATCGCGGCATGCTTTATTATTTTTCCATACCAATTTGATGGTAAACATTGCCTTCACATTTTGAAGGACTATTTTGAGAACCCTTATTGTTCTCCTTTTTACAATTACCATAATGATGACTATTATTATTTTGGTCTTTGGCATGCCAACGTTCATCGGTCAACCACTTATCTTATTTTGACTTATTATGCATCGCTATCACATTCACTTCAAGAATGGGCAAATCAAGTGGGACAAACTTCATGTTTTTTCATGAAAAATATATTATTTTTATTAGTCATCATTATATCATCATGAAAGTGCATTGGGACTCAAACCCAATGCCTTACCCATATAAAGACATGTTATTCCATAATATGCTGGAACTCAAACCCAACGTCCTATCATCATAGTGCATCAGGACTTTAACTCGATATCTTACCCTCATGGTGTGTTAGGACTTGTGTTTATCATCTTATCCTTAACTGGAATAATAAGCCAAAGCATGTTAGATCTCACCCTCGAGAGTCAAGCCATAATCACTTCCACAAATAGATAGGACAATTTCAAAGTACTCAAATTTTAATCAATACGGTCTTTAGCAGCAACTAGTTGCTTTGCCCTTTCAAGAACACCAAAAATTATTGATCCTCCAATACCTATCCAAAGTACTCTTGGCCCTATTCCCTTAAAAGAGTGGAGGCTCCTTCTTCTTTTACAATAGTGCTAACATAATACAAAATGCCTTCATACCGCTTTGTTAAATGCTGCACGTAATGTAAATAAAAAAAAGCAGGTGTCATGTTTTCAATAATGAATAAGAGAAGTGTATGTCACGACCCAAACCCGGACCCGGTCGTGATGGCGCCTCTCGTGGGGACAAGGCCAGCCAACTAAACCCAATTTATCCTTTTAAAACAGTTTAAACAGTTCATAAGCAGTTTAAATATGACTTAATACTCTTAATTAACGGGAATACAGTCCAACACAACCCTAATCGGGGTGTCATAAGTCACGAGCATCTATTAGAGTACAAATACAACTACAGGGCCTGAAATATACAAAATATGACTGATAAACAAAAGGAAGAAATGCAGTGCTGCGAACGCTGGCAGTCACCTCGCTAAACTCTAATAACTTAGCCTTCGATCAGCTCAAAACCCGCTATCGGGTGAACAAATACCTGCATCTGCACACAAGGGGCAGGAAGTAAAGTGAGTACTCCAACTCAGTGAGTAATAAGGGTAAATAACAACTGAGCAGTAAGAAATCACGTAAAGCAAACCATCATGCTATATAGGGACAGTGAAAAACCCTTTGAGAGAAAGCGGTGAAGCTGTAAAACATTTAGAAATATCTTAGCTCAGTTTAAAACCTCTTTTGAAAATGACTTTTTCAACAATTATGCAATTGAATGCAAAACAAATAGTGCAGATAAGCACAGAAGTCCGCCTCT